TTTTAAGTTTCAACTTCGGATTGGTTGTCTTTCTGCTTTTGGACAATATATCTAATCCTGTCATCTAGTCCATTCCTATTCAATAAATCCGTCTGCATGTTATTTAATGACCCTTGTAGTGTATTAAAGAGTTCGTTCATATTCCCGTTATCAACTGAACAATACATCATTTCTCCAAAGCTCGTAGATATAACACAATTAACCAATTTGTTTGGATTAAGACGACTTTTGTAAGTCACAGCAAAGGCAAATACAAATGTACATGAAAAGTTTATTTACAAAGATTTTGGAGCCAAGATGGTCAAAGCTCACAAAGTTATTGCGTCACAATGTCTCAAAGCTAAGTTCGTAAAAGCTCTCATAGTTTGTCTCAGAGCTTAGATGGTAAAAGCTTTCATAGTCCGTTCCGTAGCTTAGATGTTAAAAGCTATTGATAATCAGTGCGCACATACTTTATACAAGAAGCTGCATCATTGGAACATATATTCGGTAACAGCAATTAGTGAGTTAGAGTGTCACTTCATTCATGTTTATATAGTCCCCCCTCACTTAAGTTCTGTCTCACATCTCCTTATAGGATGTGGCAATGTCCACTGTTTACATTAATTTTGTGTATCTTGCACATTCTTTAGTTAATTAGATGGCTGCAGCTTTGCACAAATCTGATTATAAAGTGTCAATGTTCTAGAACAACACATCCTAAAAACTAATTGTCCGTCAAATGAAGACGCTCTCTTACGGTATTTGATCTCACAGAGTTTGTAAACAAGTTCGTAATTAGGACATTATTGTCCGTCGCTCTACACACTGATAGGATCAATTATAATTCATAACACAATATTAAACATAGATAAAGGTACTGTACAAATTAATATATCAATTAAACTTATAATGTATATATGCTCATTGTGTTACTAGGACCTGGCGTTGCTGTAAATCGGGATATGATTTTATTAGGAGGAAAAATTATATCTTTCTGCTCATCCTTAGATTCATAACTAGAACAATGAAATCTAAACGATTATTTAACATACTAGTATATAATTCAAAAAGGATTTCTTTCTTTTCTACTGTATTTATAGTCATCGGTAAATTGCACGACAGAGAAAAAAGGAACACACCCTCTTCTTCCTCTTCCTCGCGATTTTCAATTTCCTCTTTAAGTTGTACCAGTTCTTTATAAAAATTTAATAAGCATGGCTTTTTCTCTGTTTTTATTTTTTCCCACTCCTTCGAATTCTCATCAGCTAAAGGAAATGAGAAATGTGTATAAAGTCATGTATTGGTATTAAAGTGTTAAAGAAATAAAAACATGACACCTAATCTTGAATTATTACTTAATAATTTCTGGGTTGAAGAATGAAATTTATTCCTTTTATCCCTTTCCTCGTCGGTCATTGTTAATGTGAAACTTTATTTAAAATGAAATAAACGTTATTCCTATAGATATTTTTATTATAGTTATATATGGGATAGGGCATACCAATGTGAAAACCCAATTCGTTCAATCTCTTCATCTCAGACTACACTACATTGTACTCTCTTCTGCTTTCCTTTATTGTTTTTGCCAAGGTTACATTTTTGATCGAATCGGACCATTTGACTATCCTATTTTCATAAAGAGAGAACATGAAAATTTTTCACCCCCCCCCCTCCCTCCTATTCAGCATTACAAACAAAATTTTAATTTTTCTTTTGACATCTTTATGTATGCCATTTTTAGATATACAACAAAATCTTTTTTATTTTCCTTTTTTTCATAAAAATACATATAATACGTTTAGTTTTAAAATTTTACGTATTTCTGTGCTTCCATAGGTATATCACTGAAAGATTCAGATTTGACCTGCTCCGCATCTTACCTTTTAATTGCAATCATTATTTTCGAAGACGACATTGCACGGGAACACGCAGATGAAGAATGGTAAGTTTCTGTGGACGAAATTTTGTCCGGACAATTGTGTCAAAAAATGACACACATGCATTCCAACCGAACTAACCCTTCGTCAGGACTTGTATAGCTTTACTTAGTAAAACAATTACGTATATTGATATTTTTACCACACACACCACCCTGCACAGGGTTTTCTAGGGGGGGGGGTTAATGGAAGTTTACTTTTCTATCTGTCTTCAGTTTATCTTTGAATCTTTTTAAAGCTGTTTTAATTCTTAAGTACACTGTATGTCCTTTTTAATACTAGCCCCAGAGGGTCTTCTATGACAAGTCTCATTACATTTATTTCAATTCATTACAGTACACTTACCAAGGATATTTCAGTAATTTAAGAAGACAGGTGTTAGTCACTGCTACCACCGGGATAGCAAGTATGCAGCTAGGATATGGGGCGACGACATTGCACCACTTGGCGGGAATCGTAGATAGACGGTATTCGTGTGAAGAGTTGGTGGAGTTGTTTTTAAATGATATGTTTGCTGCAGCAAGAGAGAGAATACAGAGATATTGATCATTGATGAAATCAGCATGCTGTCAAAGAAAATTATCGAACAAGTTGAATATGTTTGCTTTTAAAAGAAAGAAATGGTGTTTGGAGGTTTACAGGTAAATGTATATAAGCTCTATGTCTTGTCTGAGGTAATTAAATTAATCAAAAAATAAAAACCTTTAAAACTATTAATGTAAGGATTGAGACAATAGTAATGTTTTCTGTAAGTTTTACTGGTGTTATGTTTGCTTTTTAAAAAATATGAATGATATAATTCACCGGTTATTGGGTGCAGTGACTTTAAACAGCTCCCCCCAGTTCCAAATTATAGATATGGAGATGATGGGTCATATTGTATAGAGAGTGATGTCTTTCAAAAGACCTTCCAGCATCACATTAATTTGACAGAGGTAAGGATTTTTTTGATTATTTTAAATTAAAGCTCTTCAAACAAATACTGTACATCACTAAATTTTTGCGACACCTTATTTTCGCGACATTGTCACTGACTCTTTGTAAGCGAGACATAATTTTTACGAATAGTTGTTATTCCTCTATATAATCGTAAGGAATACTTTTATACCCGAAAATTTAATTTTCGCGAACACATTGTCTCGCGTAATTACGCGAAAATAAAGTTCTCGCGAATAAAAAGTGATTTACAGTTTGTATTGTTAAATGTGAATAATTCCTTAGAAATTGCTGATAATGGACAAATTCCTATGAATTATTCAAATGAGCTAATCCCTGCTCTGTAAGCTATTTCCAAGTTATCCAATTTCCTCAATTTTTTCACTTTTACGGATATAAAAAAAACAGTTTTTAAAAATGTATATCATTGGGATAGCAAAAGTCCAGTTCACCTAAGCCAGGACTATATCCTTTTGCTGCACCGATGAGTAAATTCTCCTAAATAACTCGAACTGTAAACACACAAAAGATGTACGTGACTGTAATAATTTACAGAGAACTTCTTTAATTACTTGATTCCTGTAGTTCTGTCAAAACTTTGATTTTTGGGCCATCAGTTTAACCGCCATTTTTTTGCGCCGGGAGCGCGGATATTTTCATTTTTCACTTACTACATACATAGTTAGGATGAGGAAGAGTGTCTCTACTAAAAGTGTGAATTTGACGGCGCCAGGGTCAGGGGATCTCGAGTTAGGGAGGGATTGTATTCATTATAACGTGGATGTGCGTGAATTGTTTGAAAATCTTCTTCTCTGTGTTTAAACAAATTAACTACATACATATTTATGGTGAGGAGGAATGCCTCTTCAAAAATTGCGTACAGGTACAGAAAAAAATTATTTTCATCTAAAATTACATATTTTTGCGGGGTCACAAAAGATGTGGGCATAAAATCTTGGTTTTTGGGATTTAATGAGAGAAATAAGGGAGTAAACATATTTTCTTTTCGATAATAAGTTTCCGTATCAAAACCCTTTAACCCCTTGCATGGCATATATACGTAGTTCTACGCATCTGACCCGAAAAAACAAGTATAGTGTGAAAAAACATTCATAACTTTGTTAAGACTGGACATATCAGAATAAAGCTTGCACCGTTGAAAAGAGAAAATAAATACGGAAAAATCATATACATAATAATTTTAATTGGTTGTACCTGTTGTTTGCTACTTTGAGTAGAACTTTGCGCACTATTTGAGCGATTTTGCCCTTATCGAAATAAATGCGGGGGTAACAGGTTCTATGTAGAAATAGTAAATTCTGGTGTTTACATCCCAGCCCTACCCAATCCTCTCAAAATACTTAAAATATGTTAATGAAAAAATGTACATATTCATGATTTAAAACACAACATAAAATATTTTTTAAATATATTCAAATAAGCAAAAAACTAGAATTAAACTCACTAAATGAAAATTCCAGCATGATTATGGTGTATTTCGTTCCCATTTTTTATAATCATTTTCAGAAACAACGCAATACCTGCTTTCAGAATAAATATACATTGGTATATACAAAAATTACAAGAAATACCCCCCAAAATGCATTGAAATCTTAATATCAATTTGTCTAAAAATGCTTAAAATCTTTGCCATGGAAAGGGTTAAAATAAAACCATGTCAATGTTGTCTTCTGTAAAATATAGTAATTCTACTTCATCACTGTCAAGGTAATTCCGGAACCACATGAGATAGCGCTAGCTTATCAGACCTCAGTGCGCTTTCAGCTCTGCTTCAGTGTGGATGTGTTATCTTTACAAGAATATTACCGTTATCTTTGACTTTCCCGCGTTTTTAAGTGAACAAAGGATTAACTTTGTAAATTAGTATCATGGCTACTGGTCATGATGAGGATGCCCTACTGGGGCCGTCTGATGATGAAACATCATCAGATTAAAAAAACATCTTTAGTGCATTGAAAACCATTCAAAGCACAATGGAATCGGTTGCCACTGGCATAAACAAAATGGGGGATGCATTTACTGCTTTAGCAACGGCAAACCCACAACAAAAGGTCGCTGACCAGCCTTCCACCTCTAAGCGCTCATTTACGGAAATGGAACAGGGGGAGACATCTGATTAGTATGATGACACAGATGATGTCAAAAGTCTTCTTAATTCAGCTACTGGTAAAAACTCGCTATCATCAGAAAGTAAAGACTCAAATGAGTCATGTAGTGGCTCTGTACTTGAAAGAAATGGATGCCTTACTTGAGGATGATGATGAGGTGGGACCGGCTGTGGCTGAAGAATTGGCAAATATTACTAATAAGGCTTTTTCAAAGCAACATGCCATTGAAAGTGTGAAGAAAAAGAAGGAAATCCACAAGAGGCCCATGGGCCACATCGCTCACCTGAGAAGCTTTGACCATTTTGTTCTTTACCAGATTTCCCCTTTGTTATACATAATGCATCCCCACCCTACCCCACTGATCATAATTTACACATTTTGAAATCTACACTACCCCATGATCCTTCCATGGGCACATATGTTTCAGCTTTTTTGGCCCAGTGGTTCCTGAGAAGAAGATTTTCAAAGATTTTTCCTATATATTTCTATGTAAAACTTTGATTCCCTATAATGGCCCCGCCCTTCCCCCAGGGGTCATGATTCCTACAATTTAGAATTTATACTACCCCAGAATGCTTCCACATAAGCTTCACTTTATCTGGCCCAGTGGTTCTTGAGAAGATTTAAAAGATTTTTCCTATATATTTCTATATAAAACTTTGATTCCCCAGTGTAGCCCTGCCCTTCCCCCAGGGGTCATGATTTGAACAATTTAGAATCTACACTATACCAGGATGCTTCCACATAAGTTTCAGCTTTTCTGGCCCAGTGGTTCTTGAGAAGAAGATTTTCAAAGATTTTTCCTATATATTTCTATATAAAACTTTGATTCCCTATTGTGGCCTCGCCCTTCCCCCGGGGGTCATGATTTGAACAATTTAGAATCTACACTATACCAGGATGCTTCCACATAAGTTTCAGCTTTTCTGGCCCAGTGGTTCTTGAGAAGAAGATTTTCAAAGATTTTTCCTATATATTTCTATATAAAACTTTGATTCCCCATTGTGGCCCCGCCCTTCCCCCGGGGGTCATGATTTGAACAATTTAGAATCTACACTATACCAGGATGCTTCCACATAAGTTTCAGCTTTACTGGCCCAGTGGTTCTTGAGAAGAAGATTTTCAAAGATTTTTCCTATATATTTCTATGTAAAACTTTGATTCCCCATTGTGACCCCGCCCTTCATCCGGGGGTCACGATTTGAACAATTTAGAATCTACACTATACCAGGATGCTTCCACATAAGTTTCAGCTTTTCTGGCCCAGTGGTTCTTGAGAAGAAGATTTTCAAAAATTTTTCCTATATATTTCTATATAAAAATTTGATTCCCCATTGTGGCCCCGCCCTTCCCCCGGGGGTCATGATTTGAACAATTTAGAATTTACTCTACCCCAGGATGCTTCCACATAAGTTTCAGCTTTACTGGCCCAGTGGTTCTAGAGAAGAAGATTTTTTAATGACCCAACCCTATTTTTGTCTTTTCTTGCTTATCTCCTCTTGCGAGGGGATATCTCCCTTCATTTTAACAATTTAAATTCCCCTTCACCCAAGGATGCTTTGTACCAAGTTTGGTCAAAATTGGCCCAGTGGTTCTTGAGAAGAAGTCGAAAATGTGAAAAGTTTACAGACAGACAGACAGACAGACAGACAGACGGACGGACGACGGACAAAATGTGATCAGAAAAGCTCACTTGAGCCTTCGGCTCAGGTGAGCTAATAAAAGACCTAAAAATTGTGATAAGGTCTTGGTTCCTAGAGTGAATAAAGAAATTTGGAGACAAATGACGAAACAAGGTTTCACTAAAAAACGTGATTTGCGCTTAATGAACATTCAAAGTGCGATCACAAAGAGTACATGCGCCATATTAAGTGTCGCAGACAGTTTCCTCAAAGTTGATGGAGAAAAACATGACAAAGAGATTAGGAATTGTCTGGATACCATCTATTTGCTTGGACATGCAAACACAGCAATGTCAATGCAAAGAAGAGAACTGCTGAGACCAGTATTGAAGAGTGATTGTGCTGGTCTGTGTGACAGTAGCACACCGGTGACTTCTCTTCTTTTTGGAGATGATCTTCCAAAGTCATTGAAAGAAGCCAGGCAGATGGGAAATGTCGGCCGTGATTATCCGTCAAAAAACGGGAGACGATACGGGTTTCATCAGAAACCCAAGAACGAATATTTCAAAGAAGACCCACAACAAGAAATTCAAAAAAGATTAAATACTAAAGAAAGTAGCTCTGAAGAACCTTATTTTGAGGTAAGGTTGCATGAAAAATTAGAATTTTATTCTGTTGAATTTTCAGAGTATGTTAAGAAAATAGTATCTAATGCTGAAAACCAGATTTTACACTTTGAGGGTGGTAGAATAAAGCATTTTTTGGATCAATGGATAAAGCTTACTTCAGATCCAGAAATTCTTAAAATAGTTACTGGTATTGAACTTGAATTTATGGATGAACCTGTACAAAATAATATACTTAATCAGTGTAGTTTTAACGAAAAAGAAAAAAGAAATAAGTACTATTGATGCAGAAATACAAAAACTACTTGACAGAAGTAATAGTAGAAAGTGAATATGAGAATGAACAATTTATTTCTCCCATATTCTTGAGGCCTGAAAAAGATGGAAAATACAGGCTCATATGTAATTTGAAGTGTTTTAAATCAATACATTCAATACCATCATTTTAAAATGGATTCGCTGTTTTCAGTTGCGCATGATAACACCAGGATGTTATATGGCTTCCATTGATCTTAAAGATACTTATTATTGCATACCTGTATCGAAGAATTACCAGAAATATTTGAAGTTTTATTGGAACTCAAAACTGAACAAATATAGAGCGTGTCCTATGGGTCTATGTATGAGTCCTAGTTTATTTACAAAACTGAAACCAGTTTTTGCAGGGCTTAGAAAATCTGGACATCAGTCTATAATTTATATAGATGATATTTACTTACAAGGGGACCGTATTGAATTATGTAATCAAAATGTAATGGCTACATCAGATATTTTGAACAAGTGTGGTTTTGTCATTAACCTTGAAAAATCTGTATTTATTGCCAGTCAAGAAATTGAATATTTGGGGTTTATTTTGAATTCTAGAGAAATGACAGTGTCTATCACAAATCAAAAAGCAGAGAAAATGATAGGTCTTTGCAAAGAATTTCTTAAATGTACGACAAATACTATTAGGGATTTGAGTGCCATCATAGATACATTGTAATTTAGTGGCAAGTTTCCCAGCTGTAACACATGGCAAGTTAATCTATAGACAATTAGAGAATGAGAAAATAAAGGCCTTGAAGGAGGCAAAAGGTCAATTTGATGCTTGGGTTCAGTTATCTGATTTGGCCATGAAGGATTTACATTGGTGGTTAAGAAATATCTTAGGCTCCAAAGCTCCGATTACAAGAGGTCAAGCTGATCTGATAATTGAAACAGATGCTAGTTTGAGGGGTTGGGGTTGTAATTGCCGATCACTCAATATATCGGCAGGTGGACCTTGGAAACAAAATGAAGCAAATTATCATATTAATGTTTTGGAACTTCAAGCTGTATATTTTGCATTACAAGCATTGTGTAATGACAAGCGCAATATTTCAATACATTTATTAATTGATAATACAACAGCTGTAGCATATGTTAGGGAACAAAAAAGGTCAACATTATACGTTGTTTCATGTCATATTTAATAGCCTCAGAGCTTTCAATTCTCCTGTGGTTCCGGAATGACCTTGACAGTGATGGAATGACCTTGACAGTGATGAAGTAGAATTAAGAAATTAAACGAAACTTACCTGGAAGTTAAAGTTTGGTTGGGATTCTACTTCATCACTGGAAAAAATGGAGAAATCACATGCCCTTCCCTTCGTTAATTTATATTGCCCTCCCTTATAAAAATTTCATTTATTTCTTCGGCTATTAAATGGGATTTAAACACTGAGGTCTAATAAGCTAGCGCTATCTCATGTGATTCCTCCATTTTTTCCAGTGATGAAGTAGGATCCCAATCAAACTTCAACTTCCAGGTAAGTTTCGTTTAATTTCTTAATTATCTTTTGTCATTTTATAGTCTAATCATATCTTTTGAAAAAGTACATTGTTAATTTCTAATGATGCATGATGTTGAAATACATGTACGTTAATAATTAAGGAATGAATTAATCAACCCAAATTATACTGTATAACCTGGCTTCGCGGTTCTTAAAAAAGCGTAATTGTTGCAACCAATGTTATACATGTACATGTAACAGTATAATTTGGGTTGCTATTAAATTCATTCCTTATAATTTAACTTTATACGCCTTAAAATTGTACATATTTGAAACATAAGTTCAAGCTGAACGAAAAATTTGTGACGCAAATCATTGTGTCATAGGAAAACCAGGGTATACAATTTGGATTAATTAATTATCAAAGGACGCATTTAAATAAAAAATAAATTGCATGTATTCTCAATTAATAAAGTATAGTGAACATTTCCATCTTTAGAGATAGAAAAAGATATGAGGTGAGATAGCAGTACTTGCTTCGAACAAGGTAGGTGCAGAATATTACTGCTGCTTTCTTTTTCCTTTCAGTCCCACATACTTCTCTGGAAAGAGAGGGGTGTACCGTCACAAATAAATTTACAAGCATAGTCCTCTCTTTTATGACTTTCAAAATACTACTGAAAATGTTTCCTCAAATTCAAACCGTTTTCAATCGTTAATGAATATGGAATATACGAAGCTCCTCATATACCTCGTTCCGTTTGAAACTTTCTGGATCCGCTTTTGTTCTATCAAGGGCGCCAAACAACTCGGTTAGAGATGGAACAAGAGGCCCAAGGGCCTTGAATCGCTCTTCTGATAAATTGTACAATCTATCACTTCTATTTGAAGCCTCTAACCCTAAGTATCCTAAGACCCAAGTTGCATCAACTGACAAAGTTTGATGATTCTTAGCCAATTAGGACTGAAAATATTTTTAATAATAAAGCTATAAAAAACCATAAGTACATTAGTGACCTATATTAAGATTGAAGTTTTCTGAAGACTCAAGATGCATTAATAAACAAAGATTGAAGATTCTAAGCCAATAAGTATTTGAGATTTTTAAAAGTAGGTCACTGTGACCTACTTTTTTGTCTACATTCTATGAAAACCTAAGATACATCAACTAACAAAGTTTGATGATTCTAAGCCAATAAGTCCTAGAGATTGTCGACCAAAAAGTAGGTCACCATGACCTACTTTTTGGTCGACAATCTCTAAAAACCAAAGATGCATCAACAAACAAGTTAAACCAGTTAGTACCGTAGATACTTAAATAAAGCCTGAAATGTCCAAAAATTAGGTCACCGTGACCTACTTTTTGGACATCATTCTCCCAAAACCCAAGATGCCTCAACTTACAAAGTTTGATGATTCTAAGCCAATAAGTACCGTAGATACTTAAATAAAGCCATAAAATGTTTAAAGTAGGTCACCATGACCTACTTTTTGGTCGTCACTCTCAGAAAACCTAAGACACATCAACTCACAAAGTTTGATGATTCTAAGCCAATAAATACCTAAGATACTTAAATAAAGCCATAAAATGTCGAAAGTAGGTCACAGTGACCTACTTTTTGGACATCATTCTCGGAAAACCCAAGATTCATCAACTTATAAAGTTTGATGATTCTAAGCCAATAAGTACCGTAGATACTTAAATAAAGCCATAAAATGTTTAAAGTAGGTCACCGTGACCTACTTTTTGATCGTCACTCTCCGAAAACCTAAGACACATCAACTCACAAAGTTTGATGATTCTAAGCCAATAAATACCTAAGATACTTAAATAAAGCCATAAAATGTCAAAAGTAGGTCACAGTGACCTACTTTTTGGATATCATTCTCGGAAAACCCAAGATTCATCAACTTATAAAGTTTGATGATTCTAAGCCAATAAGTACTGTAGATACTTAAATAAAGCCATAAAACGTCAAAAGTAGGTCACCGTGGCCTACTTTTTGGTCGTCACTCTCCGAAAACCCAAGATGCATCAACTCACAAAGTTTGATGATTCTAAGCCAATAAATACCTGAGATACTAAAATAAAGCCTTAAAATGTCGAAAGTAGGTCACAGTGACCTACTTTTTGGACATCATTTTCCGAAAACCCAAGGTGCATAAACTTACAAAGTTTGATGATTCTAAGCCAGTTAGTACCGTAGATACTTTAATAAAACCATAAAATGTCAAAAGTATGTCACCGTGTCCTACTTTTTGGTTGTCACTCTCTGAAAACCCAAGACGCATCAACTCACAAAGTTTGATGATTCTAAGCCAATAAACACCTAAAATACTAAAATATAGCCATAAAATGTTGAAAGTAGGTCACCGTGACCTTTATTTTGGTCGACATGTTTCAAAGTCACAAGATGCATCTGCTGACCAAGTTTGATGATCCTAGGTTTTGAAGGTAATCAAAATATGCCTTTTAAACAATTCATAAACAAATGCCTGCAAAATTCAAAAAGTAGGTCACAGTGACCTACTTTTTCAAAAAAATGTTTTATGGTCTCAAGATGCATCGATTTACAAGATTTGATGATTCTAAACCTCTCAGTGTCTGAAATAATTGGATTAAATGTTTTAAAAAGAATTAGTCATAAAATTCAAAAAGTAGGTCATGGTGACCTACTTTTAAGCTGACGTTGTTTAAGGACCCAAGATGCATCAATTGACAAAGTTTGATGATCATAGGCCTTAAAGTGCCCAAAATATGCCTTCAAATCAATTTGAAAACAAATGCTTACAAAATTTAAAAAGTAGGTCACCATGACCTACTTTTTCATAAATATGTTTTAAATTCCCAAGATGCATCAATTTACAAGATTTGATGGTTCTAAACCTCTCAGTGTCTGAAATAATTGGATTAAATGTTTTAAAAAGAATTAGTCATAAAATTCAAAAAGTAGGTCACGGTGACCTACTTTTAAGCTGACGTTGTTCAAGGACCCAAGATGCATCAACTGACAAAGTTTGATGATCATAGGCCTTAAAGTGCCAGAAATATGCCTTCAAATCAATTTGAAAACAAATGCTTACAAAATTTAAAAAGTAGGTCACCGTGACCTACGTTTGAGTTTACATGATGTGATGTCCTGAGATGCATCAACTTACAAGATTTGATGATCCTAGTCATAATAGTAAGCAAAATATAAACATTTTTATTATTTGTAAAGTTAGGTCAACTTTGAAGTGACCTTGAGACCACGCCCTTTGCCCCAGGGTCATGCCTTGAACAATTTTTAATCTTCGACATATCCTGATCCTTGTATGTAAGTTTGGTGAAAATCTGCCCGGTGGTTCTGGAGAAGAAGATTTTTTAGCAACCAGTACTTTTGGTTTTGTTTTCTTGATTATCTCCCCTTGTTTAAGGGTCCCAACCCTTATTTCAGTATAAAGGGTAGCCCTTGGGCCAAGGATACCCTGTGACAAATTTGACACTGATTGGCCAAGGGGTTCTTGAGTTATGGCCCATTTTCTAAAAAGTTAACGCACACCGCACACCGCACGACGCACACCGCACAAATGGCCATAGCATTAGCTCTTTGAGCCTTTGGCTCAGAAGAGCTAAAAATCCATTGAAATTACACATCTACAGTTTGTACATCCTAATGGACATGTAAGAGTTTATCTATAAATATCGAATATCCCTGTCTCTGGTATGCCTGTCTGATATGTACGATAGCGACAGGAAATACCAGTCTTGCTTATAAAAGATCTGTTCGTTTGAGATTTACGGATATGGCTGAGCGTCGTGGTGAACTAGACTTTGTCGCTGAGAGATTCTACTTTGAATTATTTACTATAATGGCTTATGTGCAAGATTCGTCTTAGATATTTGTTAGCTATTGGATGACCAGAAAATTTGCTATTATGGAAAAAGACAAAATCTCCTCATCGCGCATTGTAACATATTAAGAAACAGACGTTATGCATTTTATAAAAATTTCCTTATAAGAATTTTCAGCCCGTCGATATTTCATCTTACCGTACACTTCTCGTAGGTATTTTACAAAGTGTTGTCCCCTCCTTCATTCTGGCGTTGCTTCCCTCTGCTGAGAAATCAACATGGATCTAAGCGTGTTGGTTCCATTTGTGTACTATGGAAGGGAATTGCCGCCAAAAGTCTATGTTACTTGCTTTTATTCTTATCCTGCCTACTTCTTTATGCTTTGTTATTATTGTAATTATATGTCACTTTATTGTTTTCATATTCGTCTTTATTACATTTCACTTTGACTTTAATCCTTCTTCATTTTGCCCTTACTTCTATGTTAATTGCTTTATTCTTGTAAATTCATTTTACTTTCTTTTAAATTGATACAGTTTCTTAATGATTATATCTATTACGAACGTTAACTCAATCATGCAAACAATGAAGCATATTCAATGAAGACGAATACAAGTTGTCCGAATTTAGTGCCGCATTATAACGCTAGGTGGCAGGGGTGTTCGCTAAGAGTGTTGGTAAAGTTAGGTAAGCAAACCCGTGCCGGGGTTATTCGAGTTTTTTCATTTTCTGCCTTAAGTACTGTTAATACTTAATCAATTAAACTTAAATTTTTAAATGACTGATGTTTGTTATTAGTTCAGGTATGTACGCAATACATGCCATTCCCTCGGAAGTCTCGCTAGATGGTAAGATTTCCCCTGGAAGACTGACTACATGTACATCGGAAGACTATACAGTGGGACTTCCCCCGGGGAAGTTTCAATATATAGCTAGTCTGCCGTGGGAAATCTCGCTATATATAGCAATTCGCCCCCATTCCTAGCAACCCCTCCCCCGAATAGTTTTTTTAAATCGTAAAACAATCTTTATATATACTAACGTTTTCATTTTTTGAAGAAAAGTTATCCGTTCTATATGAATAAATATTTAAATAATATCATTTTAATAGTGTTTTATTATTAAATCATTTTAACCATCTAGTTAAACATAGATAATCTTCACGAGTAGATATGGACAATGACTCTCACCCCCCCCCCCCCCCCCCTGGATGCAGTCGCCCGCGTGGCACTGTGGTTACGGCGTCTGCTCTATATTGAGTCACGAAGTACAGTAGTAAGGAGTCGACCAATACGTCGTGGGTCCAAATCCCACTATAGGATGTGGAGTTAGGTCCTTCGGATGAGATCTAGACCGTATTATCCGAGGTCCCGTGTCGCAGTAGGTGCTGGCACGAAAAAAGATCATATAGGACAAAGTCGCAGCTCTCCACCGGCAAGAGGTGGCTTCTCCATTTGAGTGAAAAATTCTCGAAAAGGATATTATACAATGTACAATTACACCACCAAAGTCTCAATATATATAACTGACTTCCGGGTGGACGACCTCCTGTGGGGTAATTTTCATCGGTAGAGGGGAGGGTGGCCACGAAACGTTTTCTAGTTGATGACCCCCCCTCCCCCTTCACCACCACCATATAGAATTTTCGAGTTTTAAGATTTTTTTAGCCCTCCTGGTTGATGACATTAACACGGTGCGTACTAAAGGTATTTCTTTCTTTATTGAAAAGTGATATTTTAATATAAAATATTAACGCAGAAAAAAAGACCGGGGTGTTTCTAGTATGTCTGGGTGCATGTAGTCTGGTTCCGACTTCGCCTTCCATGCGCGGATCCAGAGGGGGGAGGTGGGGGGGGGGGGGGTAGGACCCCCTGGAATTTACAAGGTCACTAAAACAAGGAAAAAAATTACCCCCCCCCCCCCCCACGAAATAGAATTTTGACGTTTGAGCGAGTTTAGGTTTTTTTCTTCTTTTTATGCTTGTCAAGAAAATTCTGGGATGGGATTTTTTTTTACTGTGTTGCCCCCCCCCCCCATTGGAAAAAAATTCTGGATCCGCGCCTGCTTACCCATAACGCTCCTCACTCCTTTGCAAAGCCCTGTCCCTAGAATCACGCGTATCAGCAGTTACTATCTGTCGTGAAATAAAGTTCAGTTTAGTGGAAGGTTATGAAAAACAACCCAATTTGTAAGGGTTAAGTATCAAAATATTTAACATTTTTATATCAATTAAACTGAAATTCAAATATCCAACAAATAACTTTAGCAGAGTTATATTTTTCAGGCGAGAGAACAGTGACGTAGCATCGTTTTTGAAAGTGGGGAGGGAGGCAACAAGAGAATAAATATTCAAGCTACCCATTCAGCTGAAAACAACTAGACAAGCGCAAAATAAACCGCAGGAAATTGTCCAAACTTGAAAATACATAAGCTTCGGAACCGGGGTGGGGGGTGGGCTTAGCCCCACTTCTTTCCAAAGATAGACTGAGTATAGACATTGAACATTCCTGCGTAGGTTTAGCCCCCCCCCCCAACTTTCCATGGACACGATGCAGTAAAGGTTTAAAATGGGGACAGTGGTGGAATTTGGAAATAAAAAAAATTTTGCACTGAAGTTCGAACCTTCAACCCCCCCCCCCACCCTCACGAAATAGGATTTTTGTGTTGGAAAATGGACATTAGACCTTTTTTTTTAAAAATTTTTTTTGCTTGTCAGGTTTTTTTTGAAGGTCTAAAAAAAAATCTTACACTTACCCCCCCCCCCCAAAGTTCAATTAGCTTCCGACGCCATTGAAATCCTATTTCGGGGGCGGGGGGGGGGGGGTGGGTTATGTTAGATTCATCTTCTTCTATAGAATCAAATTTAAATTTCCTTCCTACTACACGTACTACATTAACTTATTTGACCCTTACTCTTACAAAAAGTGGGTCGACCTTTTAATGAACTTATTCAGTATATTATAAAGTTATGTCTGAAAAAAAGAGGCCGCTATTCCTGTGTGCGCAGAGAAAATAAATATGGAGTTTCCATCATTGTATCGGGTGATCGGATCCGGCCTTCAGAAGTTCGATTGATAAAGTATTAAGGCATATTGAAGAATCTCAAATAACCCGACCCGGGTTTGCTTACCTAATTTTACCAACACTCGTAGCGAACACCACACCACCTAGCGTTATAATGCGGCACTAAATTTTGACGGTTTGACAACTTCCATTCGTCTTCATTGAATATGCTTCATTGTTAGCGTGATTAAATTAACATTCGTAGTAGAGATAATGCTAATAATTTATTTAAGAAACTGTTTAAGTTTGAAAGAAAGTAGAATGAATTTACAAGAATAAAGCAACATAGAAGTAAAGACAAAATGAAGAAGGAAAAAAGTCAAAGTGAAATGTAATAAAGACGAATATGAAAACAATAAAGTGACATATAATTACAATAATAACAAAGCATAAAGAAGTAGGCATAATAAGAATAAAAGCAAGATACATAGACTTTTGGCGGTAATTCCCTTCCATAGTGTACAAGTATTTAATGTTCGTTCCTTCAATGAGCTGAAAGTTGTGAACATCATTGGAAACATACATTGGAAATAAGGCAAGTTATTTGTTATTACAATGTATATCGACATTTCCCACAAACTTAACATACCTGCAGGACACCCGTCCTCTCCAGCCCGCGCCTTAACTGGGCGGTATTGTCATCAATAATAAATGGGAGACACCCCAATAGAGGGCCTCCTTGAAGAACGCTCAGACCTGTGCAGATAGAAACAATAATTCTTCCAAAACCAAAAATAGAAACTTGTTTATATGGAATGACAATTTAAGATATGATTCATAACCTATCGATTGCCAGGCCAGCGTACTGTATTGAAAATGCAGTTATGGGCTTATCTTTTTCTTCCATTTTACATTGCCAATATCCTGACACAAGGTCAACGTTACTAAATCATGAAACACCAGCTAAAGAATCAAGGGATTCGTCAATTCGGTGTGACGGATCTGCATCCTTTCTGGTAGCCTTATTTAGTTGCCTATAAACTACACAAACCTCCAGGTTTTATCTTTCTTTCCATCCAATAACAAAGGAGCAGACCAGGATCTTTTACTTTGTTCAGTGATGTTATTATCAAGCATTTTCTGAATTTTTTTCACCTATTTCTTTTTGTGCAGAATGGCCTTCTATTCCCCGAGCACTTTAACAGGACACCCTCTTTTTCCATTACCATCGTGGATGTTCTGTCTCCTATTGTGTTATGCAAAACCCACAAACCACTGGATGTTCTGTGGGACTGCGATACATCAATAAAAAGTTCTGAACTTTAGAATGCGATTATTAATTAATATTTTATGATTAATTCATGGTTATGAAATATGAATAAAAGTAAAGTTCCATACATATAAGTAAAGTTTTTTCCCTATCAGATTCAAGGGTAGGGTGTTTGTGCCTTGAATGGCATATGTAAAATATTTACTGATATTTATTATTTAGATGCTTACATGTAAATGTAATTTCTTAAAGGACAAGATAGGGTAACAGCCGAATCTGGCCCCTTATTTGATGTAAAGATCAGAACAATGTTAGAACTGTGATAGTTTGTAGTTCAGAAGTTAAAATGATCCTCACTTTAATACAAGCACTAATTTTGATTCAAAGCTTACATGAAAGCCACTAGAGGGTGCAGAAATAGGACATTTTCCAGATTTTCTTCAAATCTGGTGGAATTTCATCATATTTTGGATATATTTCTCTTTGGGAAACATTGAGCACAAGCTTGCCTATCTGAGATTTTTACACATAAACTGCATCTGGTATCATTGTATAAAATATATAAATTTGGTAGATAGGCAAGTGTGTGCTCTATGTTTACCGAAAGAAAATGTGCTGTAAAATTGAAGAAAATTTGCATAAAAATGAGAAATGTCGAAAATTGACCTATTTCCTGACCTGACTGTGACCCTGTGTATTCTAAATCTTAAAACCATTACTCATTTTGTGGCAGGGGTGACAACAGGTTTTTATGGATAAACTATTGGTTCATTCTGAAAGACACCCAAACTTGGGGGCCAAATACTGCTCTTACCCTACCTTGTCCTTTAATAAATTACCTTGACGACATATACTAAATGGTGTCCAGGTTTTTAGCTTCCCGCCTAATTTCGGATTGCCACAAATGAAACAGTGCCACTAGATATTTTTGATCTAAAAAAATTAAGCATATTATCAATCATACAGAAATTTTATACTTTCTCCTAAAATTTATCAAACATAAGTGACTTACAAAATGTACAATAAACGTTATTACTTTAACTTTTTTATCGTCAATTAACTTCCTTTGCAGCAATATACCTTCATCACCTGCATACGGAGTGTATATATCTCAGTTGATTCGATACGCAAAAGCATGCTCTACGTACGAACAATTTCTAAAACGAGGTAAATTATTGACAAGCAAGCTGATGAAACAAAATATATCAGCAGTCTCGTTTAAAGTCATCGTAAGTTCTATGGTTGATACAATGACCTTGTCAGCAAAAACAGTTTATCATTAAGTCAAATGCTGACTAACGTTTTTCATACTAATTGTTTGTCAATTATTTATACACCGAATTAATGATGGATTTTTTCCGTTATTTCCTGATCAAGACAAGGAGCACACGGCGGGTGTCACCGGTCGGCAAGGGATGCTCACTCCTCCATGGCACCTGATCCAACCTCTGATGTTTCGGGGGTCCGTGTTTGCTCTGCTTTTATTTTGTATTGTTTTATGGACTTAGAGATTCAATACTGCTCGTTATTTCCATATCCTCCTGTTAATAAGATAAGCCAGACACTTTGTAGAACATGAGCTTTAAGAAATTTACAGAAATATATCATTTATCTTTTAACTTTTAAAAACTGAAACCAAATAAAAATCAATCAAATCGATAAAATCCTGAAAAAGATGATTTTTAGGATGAAGCGAATAAATCTTGAAAGCGGCCAAATTTGAGACCAGGCCAACTTTTGATGCCAGTTGAAAATTGGTTTGGAGCCATATTAGATGCCAAATGAGAGGCCAGTCCATCTTTTGGGTGCAGGTCAGGTTTTATAGTTCACAGTAGTAAACTAATAAATGAACATTGTAAAATGTTATGCATCCGATCCTGTTAAATGGATGTAGCCATAATTAGTTAATTAATTAAATTGAAAGAAACAAGGACATAAAAAATAATCACAGAAGAAAAAAGTTTTGCGAATTGTAAGATAAATAAAATTGGATTTTTTTCCTATTTTAATCTTATATCTTGATCCGGGGTACAAGGTTTTACAAAGATAGCTTTTCCTGCATTTTAAACTATTTGATAAGGGACCTTTTTACTGATATATCTGGCTTTTTTTGGAGCAGTTATTTCATACCCCGGTATCTGTTTCATGTTACACGGTACTCGCCACTGTTTTAATGAACGAAGAAATCTTGGAAGATTCCCATTCTTCGCAATCCTGCATGGCATTGTAGGTGCCTCTCCTCCTGTTTGTAAAGAATGCCTTTGAGAATTCTTTTGATTGGACCTCCCTCTATTTTGGATAGTTCTGAAAATTGAAATATATTTTTAAAAATAAAACGAAGAGGATTTTTTCTACGTCTGGAAAAACAGAATATTGCATTTACTACTAATGATCAACCCGGCGTAGAAGTTGATATTTCTTGCAAGGTACATGTTAACCTATATAGCTATTTCAAGCTTTATAGCTAAATCAAGACATTGTGCTGGACTGAAAATTGTTCTAATCTTTTCACTTTGATGTGATAGGTCATAACTTCCGTACCTTGAACGTCCAAAAAAACAGGCCTCTTTGCCTTTCTTTTTAAGGCCCATAAGTTGATCTTGCACGATGGCATTAAAGGGGGCAGCAACTATCACAACTGGCAAAGTTGTGGAGTTTATTTGCATCATAAATTGAAGCATATGATATATCACGTTTTCACCATATCCAGTCGGGATAAAACTCGGAGAGCTTTTTCTAGCTTTTCTTTCAATACGTAGATTCCAGTTTTTCCTTAGCAAATTCTAAGCAATCTTCGAACGTCACCATCTTTGCTTACATGTGATACCACGTGTGAAGATTGTTTACCGTATATACTCGCCTATAAGTCAGTTTTTCGGGAGTTAATCTCTGGTCCAAAACTCTTTGTCCGACTTATAAGCGAGTTATAAACAAAATAGAATTATATGAGGTCAGTCCCTCTGATACATGACTATTAAATTCAACCGACTTATAGGCGGACCGACTTAAAGGCGAGTAAATACGGTAAATAACAAATCTTTTCTCCACCAAAACATAAAGCATAAATACAGAACAGGTAACTTTAAAGTATCTGATATTTAATTGGCAATAACAATGGCAGCGAAATTATTTCATTTTGTTAGTATTTTGTTATGCGTAGTATGTACTACGCCGGATGCGATTCAAAAGTTCACCATGAAAAGCGTTGTATTCATACGTCTACATGCGAGGTTTTTTCTCGACTTGACGGAAAAGGCCGAGTGATGCTCTGATTGAGGGCTTTCATATTTGAAGTGGGCTTTACCTGTGACAAGATATTTCCGAGCATGCTCCGATTTCTTCCCCCGTGACCCTGACCTTCACAATTTACCTTATTTTGAAAAATAATCAACTTCAGTGATAGTTTCTAAATTAATGACATATGATTAGTGTGTTTATATTAGACACATTATGTCATAAAAAATGACATTTCGCTCACAAAGACACCGAAAGCGGGGGACCACACTTCTTTGAATAATCAATTAGCTTGTTTTAGTGATCCCCAAAACATTTTCTGCATATGAGAGCATACTCAAAGTTTGATCTGGTAGACTGTCCAGCATTGTTATTTAAAGGTCATACGAAACAATGTCCTGAGTATTTTGGGTTGTATACGGAAACGAGTTCATCTAAGCAACATTAATCAGTCTGAAATAACATTTTGGATTTTTTACGCAAGTTGGAGGCAGCAGAGTCGATTGAAGATACTTGACTGCGAAGATTAACTTCAACTAGCGCGGCTTATCGCCCTTTGCTTATGACGTCAATAAGACCCACTCGCTACATTCAGTACTTTATTTATATAGCCGATCATGTTTTATGCAGCGTAATTTTTAAGAAATAGCATTGTCTTTACCAAAATTTTGCATGTGTATATGATTTTCAAACCAGATAGTGTTTGTCTTTTATCATCCTGTTGCATGTTTGCAAGATTTTAGCATGTTTTATCCGTGTAATTTATTGTCATCCTTCTACATTTTAATAGATAATAAAATGAGCGAGAGGGAGAAAAAAAAAACGATGGCCAAAGAAAGCAGAACTTCTGTACTCGAGTAATATATAAATACAGAAGCTTTCAAATAGCATACAGTTGAATAAATTTCTAACACAAAAATATAATTTGTTAAATTTCCAATAATTTTTTAAGAACGATCAGAATATGAGCACTATCGATTATCGATCTGTAGCACGCGCATATATAAGTAGATCTGGATTCGATTGACAGCGGTGTGTGAAAGTGAAACTACACCTAAGGATAAATGATGTCATTTATTAACTGTTTATGCAAATGAAATGATTCTATGAAATCGCTACCTCCCGCCTTCTCCTCACTCAGTTATTCCTTATACTCAGTTCTTTGGCTAACCCTTTCTCATTGACTCTTTCTCATCCCGTATTTTTTTTTTTTACCAAAGTCGGTACATTTATACATAACACTGTACTATGTGCCTCTTTTATATATATCGTAATAATTTTAAAAAGTTAGCCTCGGACTTTTAAACGCAATTAATTCTAGCTATATATGTAATCCACGTTTCTGTAGGTATATAAAAATTAAATTTTCTAAACTTTATTTCAACAAAGATTAAATTCTGCGAAAAAGAATGTTTAACTGTAAAAATATTTGATTCTTAAAATTGTTTAGGTTCAGTCTCGCAAACAATGGGCATGGGGGGCATGGTTTTCTTTTCAACGGATCATCTTATGCACGCACTGTATGAATATTTTCAAACTGCAGTTGCTCAAAATGTTATAGAAGTATCAGTACCGCAACATTACAGCACAGGTATATTCCATGCATACTCGTAATGCTGGTAAGTTTTTAAAATCACGTTTCTTGTGACAGCAAAAGTACGACGATGTCGTCATAAACCTCCTATTTCTCTATATTATTTTTATGAGATCTCGTGTTTCAAATTGCAGAAGTGTGCATTCAAATACGGCGACTTTTTATAGATCAATGTTTATCATAAACTTCAATATCCCCGTGTTTCTTTAGGGAAAACGGGGGGGGTGG